AAAAATGTAGGGTCGATTCCACAAGTGTCAGTAAAATGTAGGGTCGGTTCGACAAGTGTCAGTAAAATGTAGGGTCGGTTCGACAAGTGTCAGTAAAATGTAGGGTCGATAGCAGCAGGAAAGCTGCTAAACAATTAGAATTAAATGTAACGATAGAAATTATTGCAATAATCCGTAATGCAATTGAAAAATTGAAAGAATAAAAAGAAAAAACACGAATTCGTATCTTATTCGATTCTAGAATATAAGAAAATTTGAATAAAATACGCGATGAGAATTGAGGAGAAGTATAAGTTAAACGCGTAAAAATATTCAATAATAAACGAGCTAGGAACGAAGCTATTATTTCAATACGCGATGCACTGACTCTAGTATTTACTAAAATTCAAAAATTCTCGTATAAATTCCGAAAATAGATTATTAATTACGGTAAACTACTGAGACGGTTTAATTAAGGGTGGGCATGGTGCTGCTTTAGTTTGAAATGATTTATAAACACATAATTAACAGAGGAAAAACCGTGAAACGGCAAAACGTCAACATTCTAATTGTTATAACATGTAAACAGAACTTTAAATTTAGTGTAAACAGAAAAAATATATAATACAATTTATTTCACGGTATTGCAACAAATAAACGTTGAATCAATATTTAATTCGTATAAAAACAATTATTTAACGTAATAATTTTACCTTCACTATGGCTATTCTTAATCTACGACCACAGGTCAACCTGATATCTAATCCTTACGAACTTTAAATTCAGTCTAAACTGAGAAAATATATAATACAATTTATTTCACGGTATTGCAACAAACAAACGTTGAATAGATTCTTAATTCGTATAGAAACATTTATTTAAAATAATAATTTCACCTTCACTATGGCTATTTTAAATTTACGACCAAGGGTCAACCTGATTTTTAATCCTCCGAACTTGATTTCACAACGAGAAAGTAATAAGATCGTTGAAACGTACTTATTTGTCAAAGAAACTTGCAAAAATGTATAAATAATAATATGTAATGTTTTAACAAATTTTTGGAAGTATAAATTAATAATAAAATTGTGAAAATTAATAAATTATACGTTATTATAACATTAATAGAATTATGACTAAACCGAAGTTCGAAGTCGAGTATTTAAAGTCTGATATTACGTGCCTAGCGAGTGCCGGTAATTGTTAAAATTTGTTTAATAATTAGTAATAGAAATTCTAATTGATTCTAATGTATACAAGTGTTACAAGAAGGCTGAGTGTGTACAGGGTGGACATAGACTAGCTAGTAGCCCCCGACCACTCTATTCACATCTCAGAACCTTCAGGTCAAAATACGCCGCGAAGTGTCTAGGGCCCAGTATAAAGGGTAAATGATTTCGCGGGACATCGGCGGGTCCTTATATACCTGCGGTACCCTCTCCCCAAAGTCATTAGCAAAATCGTCGGTTAGGTCAGGCGGGAAATTTTCGCGGGAGATTTTCGCGGGAGATTTCCGATATCGTAACACGGTATAATTTATCAATTTTCACAATTTTATTAAAAATTTATACTTCCGACAATTTGTTATAACATTGCATATAACAATTTATACGTTTTTACAATATTCTTCAATGGAAACATAGGTTTTAGCGTTCTCGTTACTTACTCGTGGTTAAATTAATTTCGTAGGGATTAAAAATCAGGTTGACCTGTGGTCGTAGATTAAAAATAACCATAGTACAGCTAAATTTATCGTGTTAAATAATTCTTCTTACACGAATGAAAAATGTATTCAACGTTTGCTTGTTACAATACCATGAAATAAAT